AACCAATAAATTATAACTTTTTAGCTAATAATGAAAATAGTGGATATAATGAAGAAAATGATATATGGTACGATGATGATTCTGAAAAAAAAATGAGTACCAGTAAATAAAAACTTACCTGGTAACTCTGCTAACCCTTCTTCTGATCTAGCAACTATCCACCCCAAAACATATGATCAGTTATTGTCTAAGCTTTCACTAGCAATGCGAAAAATATATCAGTCTCATACAATTCAGAAAAAAGAATCAGATAAGTGGTTTTCATCTCTACAATACCTAAATGCTAGTATAAATGATTTATCTATTTCTGAATCATTTTTAGATAATGGAAGTAAATTTGGAGCCTTGAATGATACAACAATTAATACCCTTGGATGAAAAGCTGACAAGCTATTGATTTCGATATAAAAGATAACTCTAAACATATCACCGAATCGTTGGAATAGTTTACAGACATGCCAGTCAGTATAAAGGATAAGGATAGTAAAACTGTTACAGCTACTGGAAATTTTACACATATTGATAATGGTGAACCTGAACCAATGTTATGTTTAGGTATAACATAGATTCGAAAAGTTCAAGGTATTCTTGATCCGAATAAAAACCAATTCCGAATGAAATTACATGGTAGGTCTTTTATTATCCCAACTTTTAGCAAGACTCCAGAAGTCTCACGAAGTAAGGATACTATCGCATCTAAGGATCTGGTTCAAGTATCTACTATCTCATCTAGCTCGACTAGTAAGGAAGACTTAAAAAAAAATGCGATGAACTTGAAAAATGAGTTATGATGACTGAAGAATGGCTTGATATGGCTTTAAAAGCAGGTAAAGTTCTTACTGAAAGATGTTCTCAGCTTACTGAGACAAAGATGGGAGCATAGGAGCTAATCTTTTAGTATCTTTTATTAATTTTTCAAGATCGGCCTTTCTCTTAGATGTATTGTCTATAGAAGAGGCACTTTTTTTTACTGCATGTGAGGAAGTAGAACTTTGAATCTTTGGTCGTCCCATCTCTGCTGATTTATCTGGTAAAACTTCAGAGTGGTTTATATTAGTCGAGAGGCTAGCTTTATAGCTATTTATATTAGATGAATTATTGCTGAAGCCTGGTACTTCGTGGCTAGATATATTATTTATTTTATATGATTGAGGTATAGGTTGATCTCAAGTGACCCTATTATCTTCTTCTCCTCTCCAGATCTAATAAATCCATTTTGATGATGTTTTATATTTATCTAATAATTCCCTTAAAATTTTGTATCTTGGCTTTATATTATGACATTGCATTATATATGAATAATCTTCAGCTGAAAACAAAGGCGTATCAGATTTTATGCGTATTTTAACTATACTAATAAGTGTAATTACTTTGTTTTTTATCTAATAAAATATATCGAAAAATAAAAATTATAAAATATATCAGAAAAATAAAATATATCAAATATATAGGATTATATTATTTAATTAATATATATATTCTATCTAATACATTAAAATTATCACATTAATAAATATGTATATTCTATTTAATACATTATATTTATTTTT